TATACATGTTGCGTATTGATTTGGCAGATTGATTTCAGAATGCTTTCCAACTTGATTTTGATAGGCAGGTGGTCATGCTGGCTGCTAGTTATGCGGCAGCATCGGGGCTCAAACCCATCGGGGGCCCGGCACTGGCCCCTTTTTCCTTACGAAAAGTGTACAGAGAAAGCCTAGCCGGCTTGTCTGAGAGTTCAGGTTTTTTGATTTCAGTGTTGGAGCCCGCTCTAAACCCGAAAACCCTACACTGAACCCGACAACTTAAACCTGAACCCCGACCTCCGAAGCCTGAACCCTGGACCCCCAAACCTGAAGCCGGGAAGCCGTGCAAAAGGCTTGCGATTTACATTTGGTATTCAAAGAACTATGTATAGGTAATTGTTTATCTAGTTTTAGTTTGCTTTGCGTTATTTCTACATTTTCTACTTTATACGATTTAGGCTTAAGTTGTTAGGGTTTTAGATATTGGGGCTTCGGATGTTTGGGTTTGGGATTGAGGATTAAGGGCTCAGGAATTTAGGTTTTAGGATGAACTGCTTTAGGTTACAAGGGTTTTGGGGTTCAGGCTTTAGGATGTAGGGTTGAGGATTTTATGGTGTTAGGGTTTAGGGTGTCCGGGTGTGAATAGTAGTATTTAGAATTTGGGTTATAGGATTAGGGTGCTTGGGGATTTTATGTTCAATGGTCTAAGGTTTGGTGTTTGATAATACATATATATGTGTGTATAATTATATATACATATAGATATATATATATATGTATATATATATATATATTCAGATATACGTGAATAAACTCTATGCAAATAAATATTCATATTTGTGTATATTAAGTCTTGGAATTTAGTAAATAGACAGTAGCGCTACATGTTGCACCATAGTTATGAGTTAGAATCTTAGTTATACTATGGAAATAAGACGTATATAATATGTTTTACAGGTTATAAATATTTTATTCATTGAATTCTTTTTATTTTACGAATAGAAATATAACGAAATCCTTAGGTTTCATCATATTTCATCATATTTATATTTTCTACATATTCTTTAAATAGTACATGTATGTTTAAATGTTTTCTTATAATAAAACATATTTTACCCTCAGATATCATAGAATAATATCTGGTGATCTCTTACATACCCTAAACTATGATTTATTACAGCAGCCTTTCTCAAGGCTTCTGAATATACTTTATGCATATGATAAAGATAACCTCAACCCTACATTCAACCCTAAAGTAAACCCTTAGCTAAACCTTAACCCCAACCTTGACCTCAAACCTAACCTGAACTGCAACCCCAAACCTAAACCCAACCCCAAATTAAACCCTAAACTGAACCCTAAACTAAACCCTTAAAAACACCTTAAACCAAATTCTAAACGAAACCCTCAACCATACCCTAAATCCTCGATAAAACCTGAACTAAACCTTATAATGCCTAAACTAAACCCTAAACTATACCTTGAACTAAACCCTGAACTCACCCCTAAACTCCACACCCAACCCTGAACCCCAACCGTAAACTCCCAACTAAAGCCTAATCTAAACTCTGAAATAAACCCTCAACTCAACCCTAAACTCTACACCCTAGCTTAAACTAAATCCTAAACTAAACCCTGCACTAAATAACTAAACACCGAAATAAACCCTGAACGAACCTCTAGACCAAACCCTACACCAAGCCCTAAGCTAAACCTCAACCCTAACCTCGACCTCCTTAACCTCAACCCTATCAACCCCCAGCCGAACCCTAAACTCAACCCTAAACCAAACCCTCAACCAAACCCTAATCTAAACCTCAACCTTGACCTCAACCCTAAACTGAACCCCAAACACAACCCAAAACCCTAAACCAAACCCTCAAGCAAACCCTTGAAAAACCTTTCCGACCTCCACCTGTGTTGATTTAGAAGCATGTCATATATCGATTTCAGGATTGATTTATGCCACAAATACTATATTTCAGATTGATTTCGTCACCACATGAAATCAGTTTGTTTATATTGATTTTACACCGAAATCAATCCGGTGTCGACCCCGTATTGATTTAAATCAATAAACGATGCTCAGGGTACTCTGCTCAGTACCACATCGCTGCATGTCGAGGAAGGGGCAAGGCACAGGTGCTGTTCAGTACTTTGTGCTACTGCGAGTCTGCGCTGTGGTCTGTGTCGCGCTCTACATGCTCTATATACATCTCCATATCGCGTTCCGGATACATATGTCGCTATCACGGTGGCACGACTGCTTCAGGACGTCCACAGCTTTGGAGACTGTCGTGCCAAAGCTCAGTTGTTATCCATAAAACTGACAAACGATATGAAACTTGCAGGAGCGGAAGCGCAGAAACGTAGACTGAGCTTCCTCAGAACTTCAAGATACTTCAAGCAGGCAGCTTGACGTGTAGCTCTCCGCGGAGAAGAGTCTTACGCAAGTCAGCTGAGCGCCTCCGGATGCAAGTCCACAGTATGCCAAATGTCGCCAGTGTTGCCTCTCTGGCCTGAAAGCAGGCGTGCTGCCTATGCTTGTCACAGCTGTCGCTGTTCCATTGTGCCCCGAACAGAGTAGCGCTGTTGCGGGCGCATTTGAATCGCTCGCAGATGCCGCTGCCGCAAGAAGTAAACCACCCCCTGCACGGATGTTCAGATGTCACTTCACGCATGCACGAACATCCCCTCTGCTGCTCCTGCGCAGCGATGGAGGGAGAGATCGCCCTGCGTGAAATAGCGGGCGGATGCATCCTCGAGTCAGAGCTTGGACCTGGAAATCTGCTGAGGTTTGCTCTGCAACCGGACCAGGGTGCAGGCATCGCTGATGGCCACGGTTCTGCCTCAGCTTGGATCAAGGAATTGGCGCTAAAATCCAGCGCCACTTTCTTGTCCCTTCAAAAGGCCGCAGCCACTCTTGTTCACGGGTCCATCCCGATTCCACGGTCGAAAAGGCACAGTGCCGTCTCCGGCACCGGGGCCTCTTCAGGAGCTGGCTATATCACTTAAAATCTGTTTGTTTTTGGAATGTGACTACGGTGACTAGTGTCTAGGGTTCAGAGTGGCGGACCTTCTCGTTTGAGCTGATGCGTCGCCAAAGTATGGCTGTGACAGAGCCTGTCGTTTAGATACCAAGGTCGCTCCAAAACGGCAATCTCTGTCCCTCTCCCTTCTACCCATCTTCTACCCCAACCATGGGCGGAAATTGTGCTTCAAAGGTTTCAGGTCCCCGATGTAGGTGTACATGATGTCGGGTGCTTTAGAATTTAGAACTTTAGAGTCAGTTCAAATGCATCAACAGCACCGGTCGCCAACATGCGAGGTAGGCAGGACATGTCCCAGATCGCCACCAGCGAGGGACCACACGAGAATCTGACAGGAGTTCCGACAGTCTGAGCTTCAGTTCTGTCAAGCTCTGAAAAACTTGCCTCTGCACGAGTAGTAAGTGCGACCAGGAACTCGTCGCAAAGCTGGAGGCGCAGAACTCCACCTCAGCTTGGCCGCAGCCGGTAGCTGCTCGAAAGGTAACTGAGCAAAGATCAGAGGATGGGAAAAGGCCGTCAAAATCACGTTTGCCCGGGATGTTAGGGCCACTGGCAGCAAACTCCCGAAGGTTCCGAGAAAGGAAGGTCTTTAGGGCTCCAACCTTGAAGAGTCTGACTGGAGCTCAGCGGCGCCTGAAGCGTCTCGCCGACGCAGACCTGTGCTGCGTACTGCGTAATTGGCGGAACGTACAAGCTCTCCGAAGACTTTCCGCAACATGCTTCTTGGGTGTTGAGAGGATGGTCCAGTACAGCTTTAGCTCCTTTGCAAGGCAATAGCAACTCTCTTCAGGAAGCCCTTGAGGGTTTGCCCTCAATACCCATTCGATCTGGTATGTCGAAGGCTTTTTGAAGCCTTGGTTTCGAAGCACTTCCCCTCAGGGTTCCAAGCCCGACCCTGCTTTCGAGCCCACAATCCTCCTGGCGATTGTGGATTCTAACGTGTTTCTGGAGTTTCGTGGCGTGTCGAAGGCACCGATCTGGCATGGGTAACACACCTGAAGCCGGTGCTGTCAGTCATGGGGATATCTGAGAGTCTGCTCTCGTCACTTTTGCTAAGACGCTTCGAGATCAAAGTGAAGCTGCAGCAGCTGAGGCGCCAACGGCACCTGTAGTCGGATCCTGACACAGCGTGGAGCAACAAAAGCGGTAGCTTCGTTGATCTCGACTCAGAAACTATGGCCTCAATCTGTAGGGCCCGAATCACCACTTGGTCTGAATCAGGCGCCCAGAAAGCAAACTGACCAGAGACATCCTCGGCATCAACTCAGAGGAGACATGATCAACTGGTGCAACCTGTCTTCACTTCCTGGTGTTGCATGGCCCCACAGCCCTGCTGGCTGTCAAGACACGCCCTCTTTCATGGCGGCGAAAGATCCGAGCCTCGGGAGATGCAGCGTGCACTCGAACTCGAAGCATGGAGCAAAGGCAGCCTCAGAGATTCAAGACCTCAACATCGTGGCCCTTGCAAGGTGGTGGTGGTTAACGGATGTAAGCCCCTGCGTGTGCATCTAAAGGGTTTGGCGACAGCCAGTCAGCTTTTGCAAAGCAGAAACATGACACAGTGGGCCCTGAACCGTGGCTGCACACGACGGGAACCGAGCCGTCCGGCTGCGTGCTGCAAGGGGCGGAGAAAACCGAGGTTCAAGTACTCCGGAGAAGTACAAGCAGTAGAATCATAATGATGCTAGCACCCACGGCCTTGCTGGAAGAATTCCTGCGAACCCACCACCCAGCTGAGGACTGCTCCACTCCAATGCAATGGCTCCCAACTGCGGACAGGATGCCCAAAGCCTCTGCGCAGCATGCAGACTTACGTGAACAGCAGGATGAAAAGTGACTTGCATCCCTAAACTCTAACCCTAAACCTGTAAAACCCTAAACCCTAAACCCGCCTGTGACGACAGATTGGTTCGAGAATTGGTGCATCTGAACTGCTGCTGGACACCTGTTCAGGCAGTTGCTTAATCTCGACTAGGCTGCAATTGTGCCTGTGTATAAGCTCGGACATTCATGTCGCGACATCACTCGCGGTTCACGAAGTATCATCTCCAGCACTGGGATAACTATGTGACAACACCCTTCCGCCTCCACATGTGCCAGGACGAAGAAGACGTCATCGTCTTGCACCAGCAGGGAGAGTACGCCCCCCGCCTGCAATGATTTCTGACTTCGGGCTCGGATCGCAATGCTCACGTCGCGGCCATTCGACCTTGCTTGTTTGCATCTGCTGAACGTCCCGAACCGGCAGGTGAGCGTCTGACTTCCAAAGCACCTGCCAGGATTGAGACGACCACAGGCGGAGGGCCCCAGGGGGGGCAGGGCCTCGCTCCATGGCTGCAGCGTGCCAGAGATGTCCAGGGACGTGGCCATCAGCCGGCTGTCTCTGTCTCTCCCGAAGCCGAGGAGTCGGGGAGGCAGTCGATGTCCAGGTATCCAGACCAAACTGCGGAAACTGGGGCCTCACGGCGAGATTCGTGTTCAGGCTACCAAAACTGCCTCAGTCTGCACAGAGTCGCATTCTCTCAGGCCGGGGCAGTCTCCTGTGCTCAGCGCTTCATCGCTTAAAATGTCACCTGCAGAATCAGCATCTCTCCGATACTGCCATTCTTAGCATGCTCTCCGCCGCCCTGGGCCCTTCACCTTCAGGCAAGCGATAGCGTCCCGAGTCAAAGCACGCACGGGACCTCGGAAGGTCGAGTCACAGTGGGCTCGACCGCTCTGCTAAGAGAAACGCTCCGGCCGACGAGCAGCTCGGGAATTTCCGCCACCCAGACGATCGTTCTTCCGCCGTGCAAGAGCAAAGCGAGCAAGCCCCAGTATTCGTGCAGCGCCATATCCACTACCTCGAAACGAGGCGGCTCCTGCAAAAAGCAGCTTTTCGAGGCGTTGCGCGGAAAGACGTTCCAAATGCCGTACCAGTAGCAGCAGTCCTCAAGCTGCTTGGCAGCTGGCAAACAGCAGCATGGAAGCACACTGCCTGGTCAGGGCAGGGCAGCGTGAGGCCATCGATGCAGGCGTGCGCCACTTGGCATGTGGCCTGCGACCGCGTCTACGGACGTCGAGTTCTGATCGAGGCAGACCCGCCGGAGATCTCCACCTCATCCAAACGGCAGCTTCGTATATGTTCCATCACTTTGGCTCTGGGACTCGGGCTTGGAGAGCAGAGCCAGGCATTGAAGGAAGCGTTTCCCAACTTCCTCACCGAAAAAAGTCCTCTCCGGAACAGAAATTCACAGTTTTGGTGACATCGGCAAGGCCCAAACCTCCGCTGGGTCCATAGCCCGCACTCTGGTCAAACCCAGGGAGCTCGGGCAACTGCGCAGCGGAGACACGGCGAGTCCAAAGAAGGCACAGAGCGAACGCGCCTTGCGACAGATCGAAGAGAGGGGGCCCTGCCCTCCTGGTGAGCTTTGGAGCTCGATGCACCACGTGGTCTCGCCTGCCACCACCTGCAGGGCTCTGCAGGCAACTTGACTTGCAATTGATTTGCCGGGTCCGACCAGCTCGGCTTTGTGGGGCCCTTCAGGCCACACGTGACCAGCCGAATGACGAGCGGGGCGCAGTGGCAGTGATTCTGACTGTTCGCCCCACCAGTCTCTCGCATCCTCAGGGCTCCGGGTCTCCACTAAGGCGGACATCCCAAGAAGCCTCGCCTCTAACTGTTCGGCGTCTTTGCCGATGACCCAGACCATCGCAGAAGCTTGGAGCTCCGACGCGGACCAGCGAGCCTCACCAGACTCGAGACGCTAGCCCCCACGGCCACACCCACGAAAAGACAGAGAGCCTTTCGATTCTTGCTGGGGTGAAGGCCTCTGCTACGAAACCAGGAACTTCTTCGAAGGCAGACTCTCGCCAGACCTGGCTGTCACGTCTGGCTCAAAGTCTAAGCAGCTGTGACGACAGACCTTGTTTGCGTTGAAGCTTGACTACGACCTTGGGTTACAGCCTTTCGCCAGGCCTGTGTGACAATCTTTAATCTCTGCACAGATGCACGCCGAGCCGCTGTTATGTCCCGCTGCAAACCGAGAGTTGCGAGAATTGCGGGCCCGCGCCTCAAAGTCCAGAGGTGGCTTTTGGCGTTTCCGGGCTACGGCCACGGCAGCTTATCCGACAAGGCACGCAGCGGGTGCCCAGCTTGCAGCTTGGCAATGCCCCTGCAACACCTGACCCCGATGAAACCCAGCCCTTTGAACGCACGAGTAATGCGAGGCTCTAGAGACTCTAGAGCTGGAGGCTCTCTGCCTCGCCGCAGCAGCCCAGCAGCGTGTCTGTGACGGCACGGCGTCGGAAGGCTTCGCCCTGAGAAACAAGGAGTTGTCAGGGGCTCAGAGCACAGCGCAGTCCCTTTTCTGCCTTGGGAAGCTCTGAAGCCCACCAGGTCCTGCTAGCACGGAATTGAACAAAGAAGCCCCAAGATGTCCCAAGACGTCAAGACGTGCCTGACAAGGCCGGTCCGGTGGTGTACCGTGGCCAGGAATCGCTCGGAGGGGTCCTCGCAAAACAGCAAAACTCGCCCCACGAGAAGTTTTTTAAACACCAAAAAGAAGATAGAAGCCTTGAAGCCTCTTGAGATTCTTCCATCGCCCCCAGGGAAAGCCAAGATGCCAGTTCCAGTCCGGTCAGCTCGTCCATTGGATGCCGCGCTGAGGGAGCACTTGCCGCAAAAAAGTGGTCTTCGGCCTTGCACGGCCACACACCTCGGCAAGCTGATGTCTGCTCTACACTGAGAGGCGACTGCTGATGCTATCATGACGCTTCTCTCTGAGGCACCGGCACAGCTCCTGGCCAGCAACTACAAGGTGCGATCGCGCCCAGCACAGGGCCGTGGCCGGATGCATGCCCAACACATGCAGGCGAAAGTTCGCTAGCCTCAACAAAGTGTCATAAAGTCTTTGCAACTAGTCTTGCGACAGTAGAGAATCCATACCAGACTTGGGAAAGAGGCCCGTCTGTGGCGCTGAAAATCTGTATTTTCGCCATCGCCGCATTGATGCTGAGCACAGCGAGAACAGGGTTCTTCTTGTGCCAAGCCTTCGGCTCTCGAAGCTGAGACTTGCCGTCTCGCCAGGTGCTGCCAAGATGCCAGGGCATCGCAGCGCTGCTCGAAACGCTGCTTGCGCCGAAGCGAATCTTCGAAGAAGAAGAGGAAGCCGGGACCGGGATCGCCTCCTCGGAGATGAAGCGAAAGCAGAAAGTGGCGGAGGTGCGTGCCCTCCTAAACGCCCGGGCTGCCTGTGCCCACGGCAATCAGAGGCAGCTCTGGATGCGCAGCACAAATGGCGCAACCTCCTGTCTGCCTCAGTTGGCAAAGCCTTACCTCTTTCCCATCCATGCGCTGCTCTCGTCACTGACCCCGGGGCAGCAAGCTTTGCTTTGAGTGCCGGGCCATTCTCTCATGAGCACCCGGGAAAGCCACCGCAGGTTCCCGAACGACCATTTGTCTCAACTACTTTGTCCTGTTTCACATCCCTTGCACATGGCGGGCGAGAAAACACTGCTTGTCATGTACCGAAAAGACGTAGGCTGTTCTGACATGGCAATCTGAGCATTCTGTTCAGTGCAAGCTACTTGCGCTGCGACTTGGCATGGCTTTGCTAAACAGTGGCTTTTTCGATTGAGATAGCCGCGACTGTGTCAGGGAGGTGCTTGTTGATGTGCTCAGTAAGTCAGGGCCGGTTAAAGCGATAAGCAAGTTCACTACAGTTGCAGTCTGGCTTGAGCATGAGCAATGCACCACAGATGCTGCACTGAGGCGCACATTTGCCGAGAGCATGTGTTTCAGGCATAGCAAGCCTGAAAAGCTTAGGCAAGTCACCATTTACTCGTCTATGTTGTGCTTCCTGTGAGCACTGAGCTCCAGATCCCCCACTCGCTAAGGTGGGCCAAGCACACGAGATGTGAAGATATGGAGGATTCCCCTCCATGAAGTCACATGAGCTCTACCCGACTCTACCCGAAACCGCGGTGACTATCCAGCTCAAGGTGCCACTGGGCCTGCCTGTGGTCACGCTCGTCCAACTAGCTACTCCCTGTCGCCGGCTCGCCTCCAACGCAGCATCAGAACCCATCAATAGACGGATGCTCTCCAATGTCACTTCCGTAGAAACCGGCTTCAGATGAGGCCTAAATCATGTTCAGGAGAGGAGATCTTCCTTGGGAAGTGTCTCAGCCCCTTCTAGGAATTTCACTAGCACTAGCAGACAGAAGTCTGTCGGCTCTAAATCGAATCAAGTGGAAAACATGAGAGGGCGCCGATACCAGCCACCTTGTCAAGAATCCACGTGCGTGAGCAAGCTGCAAGCGAAGCCATGCAAGCTCAAGGTGCCAGGCCATGCCAACCCTCATATGGAATATGAGGGCGCTGTGGCCTCAATGTGACACTTAAAAAACAAAGCTACATCCCAGTTGTTGGCCGCAACAAGTGGTCGCAAAAATCTGCAACGAACTTCCGGACTGGAAGTGCGATTCTAAGCGACCTGCTTTCACGACCGAATTGCTGCCGATTCCGATCTTCATCCTCAGCATTCTGCATTCTTGACCCGGCAAGCTCTGGAAAACCCCCGATGCGATCTAATTGCTTGCTCCATAGGTGCCAAGCAGACGGTACTGACCAGGTCCCAGTTCCTTAGAAAAATCCAAATCTGTCGCCAAGCTGGGCAGCCATAGTCATGAGCCATAAGCTGCAGGCACTGATGTCCTTCAGGTACTTCGGAGACAGGCCCTTGAGGCAATCCTCCTGACAACAAGCCCAGCAGTCATCCTGCGAGGCGAGTGCGGGAAGAGGCCCGAGGCCGCTGCATTGTCAACGCGCCTCTCCTTGCAAAACGAGAAACGCGGCGCGGACTTGGCCTGAGTTCTGATGCATGCAGAGCTGGACCTGGAGGCAACAAAAACACATGAGCGGCACACTCGAGTCAGGCGTGAGGCCAAGACCTTCCAAGTGAGCAGACAAGAGAAAAGCATACAGGCCATGCAGGCTTCTGAAACGCATCGCTTCAGCCACTCAGTCACAACAAGAAAATCTGTCGTGACATTGCACACATGGTGGCAAGGACCCTTGTGAGTGGCAAGACGACCAGCGAACTATGAAATCGCACGGTAGATCACGGTAGGCTCCTTGCACGTCTTCTGATGCCTCTGCCCGTAATGTTTGTGATGTTCTATCCAACCGATGCTGGCGTTGGTCTTTTCTGTGTATACATCTTACGGCTCGAACGCCGGCGTCGTCGTCCGAAAGAGGATACGTCAGTGGCCGACACATACACGATCATGTCAGGCCCAACCCCGCATCCACTGCGAGGGTAGTTGGTGCCGCAGATCTCACTCTTCACACCCTTCAGCTGTCTGGCTAAGTTTCTTTATTCCCCGAGCATTTAGCAGCTCTGGTGCATATGTACTCAATGGGTAGGCCACACACAACGGCTCATATGTTCTGGATCAGGGTGGAGCACGAGCTGGATCCGACAATCAGATGTAAAGATCAGCCGGGATCGAAACTGCTTGCATCAGCTGGTGTTTCGGAGAATTTGTTTGAAAATAAGGATTATCATTTCAGAAAAACAAAGCAACTGTGAAAGGAGTGACTTGTTCCCCAAAACCCAAAGACCCAAAAGGAGTGAGCGGTTGCGGTCCGCTCAACAAAAAAACAATACAATCCCCTAGACGGAGTGAGTGCTGCGGTGCAGAAATCCGAACAGGAGTGGCCCGTTGTCGCAACCACACACCTGGACCATAAAAAGAGTGCCTGGCTCCCAAGGCACCCGGACCCTGCGAAAGCTGGTCGAGTACCTACAGATACCTTCTCGAAGCAACTGCGCCAGGGCCACCGCCCTGGTGCGGCTGTATCTTAAAAAATGGAGCACCCCGAGATGAAGAGGCGAAGGCGGCATGAAGTTGGCACAATGCTCAACAACCTTGTGATGCCTGATTCCTGCATTTCCGGAACGGACACTGGGGAGCCCATCTCGAATGGTGCAAACAGCAGGAACCTATCGCAGAGCACGTTACGTGACATGCGGCTCATGTTGTGCTTCCTGCCTCGGTGTCTTTGGTCAGCACCATACCAACATCCTAGTGCAGCAGCAGTGTTGCATTGCGACAAGTCTAAAGCAGTTCGATCTCCAAGAAACGAACGACAAGATCAGGCTCGGTCCATTCGGTAATGACCCGGCGGTAGGTTCACTGCCGACCTGTCCACATCAGACGCAAGCTCGTCATGCAGCCTGATTCGCTGAATCTTCAGCCTTCCAATGCGCGGAAAGCGCTCGGACCTAGGACACGTGCGAGAGCCCTGCCAAGCGCAAGATCTATGACACATGCGCAGAGCAACAAGTGGCCCACTTGGACATGGTGCAAACCTCGCATTGCAGATGCAATGAAATCTCGTGAGACACACATTCAGGTGCAGTGGTATGGTACCGAACTACGCAGATCTGGTGCCAACCTTCTACTGGGGCTACATTGGATGTAGAGGTCGCAAGGTCCCGACAGGCTGGCGTCTCTTCGTGCTGTTGCAAGACTCTATGACCTGACAAGGCTCACGTTGGACCTTGACCCAGTCCTACACATCGCGATCTCGACTCTGTGTGTAAAGTCCCCTTTGCCCAGCCTTGTCCAATTCAAAGAGCGTCGGATGACGCACCTGAGCAGCCGGACATGATGGCAGCAGTTGTCATAACAACCCTGGCAGTGTCCTTGTGGTACCTGGCTGGTAACTGCTCTGGTACCCTGAACAATGAACTGGGTTCAGAGGCCAGTACTGCAAGCATGCTTGCAGCCGGTTGGACAATGGAAGCACAGACTTGCTACCTACTGGAAAAGCACAGTGAACTTAAACGCAAGTGCGCACTGCGTGCGACTGTGTTCGGTGTTCTGTGATGGCGACTGCAAAAGTCTGCACCTGTGCCTGTTCCAATTCGCGGCAGCTGTGCTGAATCCCTTCATGTCACTGAAGCTTCCATGGGGTCTTGTTGTGCTGGGCTGTTGGCACTCTTGGCCTTCGGGGACCCTTCGAGCCAAGCATAGGGCAGAAGTACGGCACCGCAATTGCATTCCGGCGGTTCTGGCTCAAGTCATCCCGTGCAGGTACAATGAGATGCAAGCGTTGAAGCTCCTTTCGACGACTCCAGTGAGGGCGAGCCAATCGTTTGGATCTCAGCCTGCTGAGGTCTTTGACTCGTGGGCAAGTTGCCAACCGCAAGGGTGGAAAAAGGAGTATATAGACGGAACAAACTTACGAACATTTACAAAGTGCCGGCTGAAGTATACAGTGACAGACATTGAGGTACGGCCACACGAGTTCGGCGAAGAGAGCTAATTGATCAACGGTGCCCGCTGCTGCATACGGCACTGGGCTAAGAAAGGGGCTTCGCATGCTCTTGGCATGGATCAGAAACTGGCTAAACGTGTCCGGAAAGAAACGCAGACGACCGACACCCAACTGCACACATACCGCGCTGCTAGGCTAGAAGGCGTCAGCGGCTTCGAAAGTCTCAGCCGTCGCTGTCCTCCTCGCAGGCCTGTACACAGCAGAGCCCCAAGTCCCATAACACATCCGGTTTTATTCGCTGATGCCACTGCCTTTGAATCGCCACCAGAGGATGCAGCAGCAGCCTGCAAAGCCCGCGCTCCACATGTCGCGAGCGATCAACTGAAGCTCTGAGCGGCGGCTCTGCACAAGTCCCTCTTTTGCTGCAGCACTACGTGTATTGGATATTGAAACGTGGAAATCGGAAATGCAGAGGTCGCCTAAGGCGTAAAGCGTGAGTCGAGACATGACATTGCATGTGGACAGCACCTCTACCTGGCGTCCATGCTGACACGGGCTCTTGTAGCCCACTAGATACTCACTGGCATGAGTGGAATGTGGTCCGGCGGGCGCGAGGCAAAGTACGTTGCAGGCGACGTTTCGCTAGCCGCCCACTTCCTGATATCAATTATGTTTCGGGCTTGCCGGCCCGGTGCCGCGGGACCCTGCTGCTTGCCAGCCAAGCGTCTGTAACTCTTCCACGTCCGCCTTCCTCATGCCCAATTCAACTGCTTGCCGTCCACGCTCTTTGCTCAGCAAGTTGGTAGTAAGCAGGTCCTGACATGCTCTCTACGGCGAAATGGCGGCAGCCAACCGGGGACCCTTCTACTTGCTGCTTGCATCTCAGCGTCATGCAGAAGCTTCGGCGGTGCTTCTTCATCCATCCGCGGGAGAAGCAGCTTCTGGTAGTCATCAGCCTTCAAAGTGGCCTTGCGGTATCCAAGCATGGCAATGAGCCTGTCGTGTTGCACACTTAAAGGCCAACCAAACTCATTCAATTCAAGTCGCCATAAAGACGAAGCCTGCCCAGAAGCCCTTCTTGGCTGAGATCTCAGCCGCCAGCTTCTGCTCCCAAGCCAGGAACACCGGAGAAGGCATCTGACTTCCTGTGCAGATATTTTCCTTGCATGGGCGGAGACAGAACTAAACAGCAGCAATGTTGCATGGCCAACGCCTCACCGATGCCAAGTGACGAACGGATGCAGCAGAAATCTTTGCACTGCAAACCGACTTTCCTCGTCCAGGTTGAATATCGACACCTCGAAGGGAAGACACTGAGACACTGGCCAAGCAGCCAAGGACATTCAACTGCTGCAGTCCCGGCGAATGCCAAAGATTAGCCAAGGGCGTGGCCATCGACATGGCAAAGCTAATCAGTCTGAACCTCGGGCGGCAGATCGGATATCTCTGCTGGCCTACTCCGGAGCACCCATGTGTGTGAACAGGCTCGCATCTTCACGCACGGGCATTTCACACGCTTGTTGGTCGCCAGGTGTGTCAAGTAGGACTGCACGTATCTCTGTGCGCCGACGCCGAAGCCCCACACGAAATGAAAACAATGTCGCATCATGCCAAGGTGCCACTGTTGCAATGAGTAGTCATTAGCAAGAGTCTGCGAGACGAACTCAATCTGGGTCGTTTTGATCGCGAGCACAACGATTCCAAAGAGGCCTGACAGCATCTTCAGTGGCATGTTCACCTCGCATTTACTGAGGCAATCCTTCTGATGCTCGGTTTACTAGCCCTGGGTACAACACAGGCCGAGCTGTGGCTCTGACACAGCTCGAGCTCTCTCCAATAACCTTTCCTGCTCAGGCTTTCCAACATTGGATCTTGCCCTGCCTGCTGCTATGTAACCGAAAGCCTCGAACGGGGCCATCACGTACTGCATCTTCGGGTTAAAGAACAGCTTGCCTTGGTGCCAGTGTGGTGCCAGAGTGCAGTCTAGCAGTTGCACGCCAAAATTTGGCAAAGACTTCACACCAGAGCTGCATTCCTTCGTCACCCGCGTGACACGCTGAGAGAGTCGGGACAACGAGATATTGCGCAGGAGCCTGAGACGACAACCCACCCCCGGCTGCCAGGCTGACGAGTTCACTAATTGCTCCACTGTGGCACTGCATTGACGACCAGCTCGCAATGTCTTCGGCAGCATTGGCAAGCACCAGGCCCATGTACGAAAGGTTTGGAGTCTGTGTCCACATCATCAACCTGACGAATCGCACGGTGTATGCCAAAGACTGCCTGCTCTGCTGAAGCAAAACATTGAATCCATGGACCTGTAGACGAGAACGCTCCAAAACCATCCAAGCGCAATTAGCTCGAAATAGGCCATGTAATATCTCATCTGATTGAGTGGCCTTCGTTGGAAAAACACGAATCCGCATCTCTCACAGTTCCCGACCGACATGCAACGCACCTCGCAAAGCAGAGCTTACACATTTGGCAACGCCAGCTGCTGCTTCGGCCAAGAGGCTCTTGCGGATGGCGTGGCGGCAATGACTTCAAGTTGAGATACATTCCTTGCCGACATGCCCCACATGCAGTCTGCAAGTTGCCACCTTCTCCCTGCGCACACTTCGAGTTTGGCCTCCTGTAGTGATGAACATCCGAATCAGCAATGCCAGCATGGAGAGGCCACGCATCGTCAAATCTT